GCAAGATCTCATTCCTTTTGATGGCTGCATAATATTCCATTGTATATATATACCACTCTTCTTTATCCATTGAAAGGCAAAATTTTATGGGCTTAATTTCTCACTTCCTTTTTCAGGTCGAAAGAAAATGGAATGGCAACATTTTGTACAGAATTACATGAAAAAAAAAACAAACTAACAGGGTTTTTTACTTGCTTATTAACAACAACAAAAAATGGAACTTTTTGAAGTCCCGTTTTTATGCTTTTTGAAAGACTGGCTGATGAGAAAGAGGCAATTCAGAAAATGCTAAGCACATAAAATGTAGGTAGTTACAAAATTTTAAGCAGGTTTTGGCGGTCTGTATTTTTCAGATCAATAGTGTTAATGGAGAATACAAGGGAGTTCTTCGACTCTCTCCTTTGTGTTCTCACAGAATATTGACCTTCTTTTAGAGCTTTTATCACACTCAGCTAATCTTTGCTCTCTCCCCCTGTCCCCACTTCTGGGCTGAGGGATCTTGGCTCCACGTTTACTCTTTGTTCAAGAGTATCTTGGGTATTTTCAGTATCTTGATTGTGCTTGATAACTTGCGCAGGAATCTGCCCCAGGGATTGTTGGGAACAGAGAAGGTATTCTGCCACAGGCAGGCTTGGGCAGTGTAGGATTCAGAAAAGAAGACAGGAAGGGGGGTGTGACAGATGGAGACTCAGGTCCTTGGCTCAGGGTCTCGTGGGTGGGGGTGCTTGATTTTCTCAAAAGAACATGCTCTACAGCCATCCACAATTTCTTTGGGTGTGTATGTGTGTGTGTGGGGGGGGGTTGCATTATTTTTACAGCAGATAATATTTCCTATAATTTTAAAGTATATAGTTATATAAATATATCATGACTTTTCAACTGTAAATAAAAAAGAAGTGATCTCGTAGTATTTAAGGGGTGAGTGGAATTGTGTAAGTTTTTATTTTTAAAAAAGCATGTTTCAAAAGTGATACACAAACCGGTTTTTCTTGACGACTGTATCTCAAGTGTTTTCCTTCCGCCATGTACACCCGATCATATTGCCCCCATTTATTTTCCTTCTGGCACTTTTCATAATTTAAAATTATCTTGTGTGTATAAAATGATTAGATATATGTTATTTATGTAAACAATGTTGTATATGTTAGTGATATGATCTATTATAATAGGTCATTGTTTATATTTATATATAGATATAATATATATCTGTACATTAATCATTTAGATAAAACTGAGGTCATATAATGGCTTGGACATCAGATATTTGACTCTTAAAATGATAGAAGTCCGTATAATTAGTTGGTCGTAAGTTAATTTGATATAGTTCAGGTATAGAAGTTCTCAGTGAAGCCCAGAATAATGGTTTAATTATTGTAGGTCTGACGACTTCCGGGATGGTCTAACAGTTTTATGAGGACCTTAAAACAATATTCTCCATTTTATTTTCTATTATCCTTTATCTCTGAAATTATAATTCTTTCTTCATCCATAATTCACACATGCAGTACGTTTTATAGAACATCTAACTCCGTACCAGCTCCTAGGGATACAAAAATGAGCAAGCTCCTCGTCCTGTCCTGTAGGACCTTACGTCTAGGAAGAGAGTCAGACGGGCGAGGATGGTCTGGATTCTGAGTGCCGGGATGGGAGTAAATTCCAGGAGCAGTGGGAGGGATAGCAGCCCACAGTTAGGGTTTCAAGCAAAAGACTTCTAAATTGAGACCAAAGAAGTAAGAATTAGCAATTAGCGGAGGTTGTAGTATGTGAGGAGGTGTGAAATGGGGTAAGTTTGGGAAAAGAGGAGAGAAGTGGTTCTAAGGAGAGGAAGTACAATATTGAGAAGGTCTGGAGCACTCAGGAGAAATGGACATAGCTTTTGCATGGAAGGAGTGTAGAGATTGGTGTAAAATGTAGCTGGGAATATGGGCAGGACCCAAGATAGGAAGGGGTTTAAATTGTGATTTCCTGTGTTTAGAGGACAGAGGAAATCCCTGGAGGGTTTAAAACAGAGTAGGGACATGGGTTGAACATGGACAGTTTGATATACTGATGAATCAGGTACAACCATCCATCCTACAATGGCTTCTCTGATTCTAAAGTTGGAATAGAAGACGGAATGGGAGTGGCCTAGAGCAAAGCCATCCCTATTTAAAAAAAAAAAAAATCCCTTTGAAGTGCACCGCTTACTATATGGCAAAATTAATTGCTTAAGTAACACCTTAGAAAGTAAGGGTCAAGTCAAAAGATGCCGCCTTCCTCCATCACACCTTTATTTTCTGTTCTTTCCTCCACCTCATTTTCCCATCCTAGGACAACAAGACCATACTCTTCCACCAGCTGCAGCAGATGACGTACAGCCTGATCGAGTGGCGGTCCCAGATCCTGTCTGGAACCCTCCCCAAGGACGAACTGGCAGAGCTCAAGAAAAAGGTCACAGCCAAAATTGATCATGGGAACAGGTAAACCAGGGATGATTTCAGCGAGAACTTGGAAAGAGATGGGCACGTTCATGCTAAGGACGTGGCTCGCCGTCAGCTTTTGATCTTACAGTTGCCAAAGAATGATACTTACTGCTCTCTTTTTGCACTGGGAAACATTTAACTTTGTTGGAAAAATTTGGCAGTCCCTTGCATAAGCCAGACCTTGTGCAGGATCGCTGTGTCAAGGAGATGACAGATGATCAGGGAAGATGGGACTTGGTTGCCAGACAAGACTGGAAGGGACAGCTCGTTGGAAGGCACATTTTCTGAGGCCTGCATCGATCTCAGTTTTTATTCCAGCAGTGGATTTTAAATCAGCATCAGACTCATTCTCTTTCTCTCCATGTTCCCTAACTGGGACCATGGTGTATAGTGTATGGAAGCCAAATTTACAAGAAGAGTAAAACATATTTTTAGCCTGTTGATTACATCTCCAGTAACCGCTGAAGAGTTAATCACTTTGTTAATCTTCTGATTAGCTCAGGCAGATACTTAGGTTCTAGACATCACTGCCCTTTGGAAAGTGAGAAATCAGACAATTCATCAGTTAATGGTGGCCTGGGATGCATCCCTCCTGACCAGCTCCTTTTTTAAAAGACTGGGTTGGTTCCTCAGTTTTGTTGATGATCCGTTTGACATTTCCTTTGGTTTTCTAAATATCTTCAAGTTGTGCATATGTGATTTTTTTCCCCTCCCGCCTTTGCCTCAGGACTCTTGAATATACTTCTGACACCTGTAAAAATACAGCTCATTATCCCACTCACTTAAATTTTACAGACTCTGACAACTGTATTCAGAAATAGCTGGAGTGAATATAGCATACAAGATTCAGATTCAACCATTATTCGAAATCTCCTATGTACCCTTCACATGTATTACTTGATTATAACCCATTCCGTGGTTGAAGAAACAGACCAAGTGAGCTTAAGTGATTTATTTCCAAGTTACAGAGATCATAAGTGGGGAAGTCGAAATTTGAACCCCAAACTTATGATTCCATGTTTAATGCTACCCTCCTAGGGTTAAGAATGAACTGTTCCCTCCCTTGTCACTTGTCCATTCCTAGGACTATAACCACAGGGGGTTTATTGCTAGTCACGTGCTGGGGCATTTCTTCACAAACAGCTGTGGTGGGCTGAGTCAGGTCCCTCCTTGCATCTGTGCTAGCCCTGTATTTTTGAGTCTTGTCACAGTATAACATGGGCCTAGAGGACTCTGATCTTCAGCACAGGATGTTAATGTCCCACAAACAGACACAGCTGCTGTCCCACGCCAGCCTTTAGAAGCAGCTCAAGAAATGAAACTCCTTCGTCAGTGTGTCAGTGCTCCGTCTCTGAGCCGTCAGCAAGACCCATAGCTCCTGCGTCTGGGTGGCCTGTGGGTCTGGCTGCCGTGGAAAGGAACCTGCCAGATGTAATCTCCTTGATGGAGATGCTATAAAACAGGGAGGGGAGGGTAATTGGACATTTTTGCTTTTTTCCCAAAGACTTGGCACATTTCACTATCATCCCTCCGCTTTCTCGCCATTTGGACACCGCTGCTCCCAAGTTGCTGGTTCCTGGAATGTACGCTGGGCATTCAGATAGCAGTATCCTGTTTCCACCACAGTCCCCAACGTCCTGGAACGAAGCACATCTTTTTTTCTACTTCTTTGTGCACATTGGGCATAAGAGCCTGGGTAGGGATCGTGCCTTGCCTAGACCATATTGCTCTTCTCCTGTGTAACACTTGGAGCTACAGCTTAACACAGCCAGGCGTGTTCTCATGCCGGTTGCTGCAATAAGACCTGCCATGTACGGAGAGTGTGCTATATACTAGATACTGCGTTATGTGCTTTACATGTTATCTCATTAAATTCTTGCAGCAACCCTGAAGGGTAGGGAATATTTACAGATGAGGAAGTCAGGGCTTTGCAAAATTAAGTAAATTACCTGGAGTCCTCTTGCTAGCATGTATTCAAGCCAAGAGTCAAATCCTGATCTAAGTGACAGCAGAGCCCATGCTGTGAGATAGGTTATGAGATTCCACCAGCTAGGACCCACTTTACTGATCGCCTTGAAGACAGTCTTGAATTAAGGGCTGTCCTCAATATTGAACTTTCAAGGAAAGCAGGCAGAGCCCCTGGATGTTTGGTCTATCATTGTTCTTATGCCAAACAATAGAAGGTCAGGGGAAGAGGCATTGGTCAGAGGAATCTGGTCAGAAGGGGTGCCAGTCTTGCCTTTCCTGTGGAGGTTCTGTGGAATAAATTACTTTGCATATCATATGAGTTTGGTTAACATTGCCATAAGTTTTCATAACTTATTTACCATAAGTTATGTGGAAAGGAGGCAGAAATGAAAAAGAAAGAAGTGAAGGAGCTGTTCTTAACTTGACTGGTCCAGCACCCAACTTTCTAACCATGAATCCTCTGGGTTCTTTCCTGGGGACTCATCAGGAAAGGGTATGTTCTTAATGAGGAGAACTCACTGATCACTCCTTTCTTTCTAGAATGCTTGGGTTAGATCTGGTCGTGAGAGATGACAACGGGAACATTTTGGACCCAGATGAAACCAGCACCATTGCCCTTTTCAAGGCCCATGAAATGGCCTCAAAAAGGATTGAGGAAAAGATCCAAGAAGAGAAGGTACACTTCCTCCAATATGCAGATTTGAGTCCCTGAGATTCCATTTTTGCCTTTGTTTTTAATGAGAGAAAGGGAGTCTCTGACAACAAGAAGTAGAAATGTTTAGAAAATCATTCATTGCCTCACTGAAAAGCAAAACATAACCAAAAAAATGAGGCAGCGGTATACCTTCTGCTATGGAAAGATTGCAAAGATATGCGTTAATAGAAAAAGAACAAGATTCAGAACAGTGTGTGCAAAACACCAGTCTTTGTGTTTCAAAAAGGGATGTACATACCTCTGTGTCTGCATATGCATAGGCTAACTCAGAAAAGATAGGCAAGAAATTGATAATTAATCGTTGCCTCTAGGAAGGAGAACTGGGTGGGAGGGAGCCTTTGTACTGTGTGACCTTCTGTATTTGATATATATAATACAGTTTCCAAATTAAATAAAATAGTATTTAAAAATAAAGCATTTGAAAGGTTTTGAAAGTAACAATTAGACATTAAATAAAAATTAGAAAAGTACAGAGAAAGAGAACAAGAAAGATTCCCCCATAGTATGATCCACAGACCCAGCTGTATTGATATTTTGGTATATAGCCTTCCAGTCTTTTTGTTCTAATGAGTAAAGGCTTCTGTTTATTTAGTTTGTAGTTTGTTTCTTTAGTACAGTTGTGATAATATTTAATTGTGTTTCTGGATCCAATGGCTAGCCACACTTGAGAGTGAAGCCTTTCCAGTGGAATCTCTTGTTTGCAGTGAGAACTGTTCTCGAAAAAGAGGGATAATGGATCATGGTTTTTGTGCCTCCGAGGTTCATTCAGGAGCCGTTGTGAGAGATAAGAAATTCTTGAAGCTACTAAGCCATGAGTTGTCATCTTTAGACAGCACTTAACTGAATTTGCTGGGCTCAAGGCCCTGAACAAGACAATCTTTTTTTTTTTTTTTTTTTTTTTTAGGATTTATTTACTTATTTGAGAGAGTGAGAGAGGAGAGAGAGAGCATGTGCACGGGGGCGGGAGGGGGAGAGAGAGAGAGAATCTCGAGCAGACTGAGTGGGGAGCCTGACATGGGGCTCGATCTCACAACCCCGAGATCATGACCTGAGCTGAAATCCGGAGTCGGATGCTTAACCAACTGAGCCACCCAGGCGCCTCATGAGCAGGACAGTCTTGATCATCCAAATCATAGTGATTGTATTTTGCTCACTTGATCATCTGGCCACGTACACACACTTTGTTCTCAGTCGGTGCTTCTCCCCTCAAGTGGCAATTATATTTGTCCCCCATTTGCTGGCCTGTGACTTTGCCATTATTCCCCATTTGCTGAAACCAAGAGGCTTTTCTGTCTTTTCCTCTGCGTTCAGTCAGTTCTTCAGAACCTGGACTTGCGGGGCCAGTCTGTCTTCAGTGCCGTCCACACCTACGGCCTCTATGTGAACTTCAAGAACTTTGTCTGCAACATTGGGGAAGACGCCGAGTTGTTCATGGCCCTCTATGACCCGGACCAGTCCACCTTTATCAGGTAGTGGAGTCCCAGGCCATCTGCTGTTGACCCTGCAGAAATGCCCAGCCTTCACTTGCCACCCACCTGAGGAGCCCTTTGCTTGGTTTGAGGGCGGGAGATAGAAAAGAGGGTAGGATCTCTAAGCGGTAGAAAATAAAATCCTTTGACTACTGAGCCTTTCTTTGCGGGAACAGTGCAGTGAAAGTTTGTGTACTCTCTGGGTCTTAGAATCACATAAAACTCATCAGAACATGGAGACAGGGACAAAGGGTTCAAAAGACACTTGGGGGCAGGGTGAGGGAAGAATGCATCAGCAGAGCACAGAGGATTTTAGGGCAGTGAAACTACTCTGTATGATTCCGTAATGGTGGATGTGTGTCATCCTACATTTGTCCAGATCCGTAGAATGCAAGCACCGAGAGTGAACCCTAAGGTAAACTATGGACTCTGCTATGGACCCTGGGGGGTAATGAGGTAACAGTGTAGGTTCTTCACTTGTAACAAATGTACCATTGTGCTGGGGGATGCTGATAGTGGGTGAGGCTGTGTGGGGGGCCAGGAGGCCCGATATATATGGAAACTCTCTGTCCCTTCCACTCAGCTTTGTTGTCAACCTAAAACTGCTCTAAAAAATAAAGTCTGTCAAAAAAAAATTTTTTTTAAACTATAGAGAATGGTAATAGGCTTCGTTGATCCACAGTCACGCTACTGCTTAGCTGAGCAGCTAAGAAAACAGATTGATTTTTGAGCAGATGGTTAAAAGTAGTTACTGACAAATTGTTTATTTCTATAATAGAGATTTTATCTGAGTGTGGTGAGTAGATTCCAGGGGATGGATTTGCAATGATTATTTTAAAATTATATTCCTGATTCAGCAAAGCTGAAACTTTTATACAAAGAATTGGAGGTAGAAGAAAGATGCCAGGCGGAATCTGGTAGAATCCGCTGTGTGTGTGCCCATCCCGAGTCGTGCTCGTCTGGGGTCCACCCTGGGTGTGCCTCATGGAGCTGGGCTGCGTGAGGCATGCTCGACATGCTCGCTTCTCCAAAGCCGGGAAACCAGGGAGCCGCCCCTTGGGTGTGACATTCGCACTTGCCTGATAAATTCAACAGAGCTTTTTGGGGCCTTGTACCCTATGAAGTCTATGCCGAGGGCAGCTCCATTGCCAGTTAGCTCTTCATTAAGGATAATTTCTCTTTTTTCTTTCACCAGTGAGAATTACCTAATTCGTTGGGGCAGTAATGGGATGCCCAAGGAAATCGAGAAGCTTAATAACCTTCAAGCGGTTTTTACTGTAAGTCCTACCTTATGTTGAATCATTTTCTGTGCTTATGATATTAGCAGATGCGCATGGTAAATATATGGAAAAACCTCAGAAATGGAAAGCTGAAAAGAAAAATCATCATAATCCTCCTAGCAGGAATAATCACTCGTTTATTCAGCAGATATTTATCGAGCACCTATTAGATGCCAACCATTATCCTAGGCACTTGAGATACAGCAGTGAACACATCAGAAAAAACATCCCTGGTCAAGGAGCTTTTATCCAAAACGGGGAGACAGTAAGAAACAATGATCAAATAAATGAGTATGTTGTATAGAATGTTAGAAGTTGTAAGTACTTTGGTTGGGGGGGTGGGGGTTTCTGGGCTGGGGAAAGGGTGCTGTTTTAAATAGGTGGGTCAGAACAGACCTTCGTGAGAAGAGGCCATTTGAGCAAGAACTTGAAGTTGACAAAAGAGTGAGCAATGCTGATAAAGAGAAGAGCATTCTAGACCAAGGTTATAGCTTAGGCAAAGACGGGGATCTCAACTTTTTTGTTTGCTCATATTTTAATGGACTTTACCCTGAACTCCTCCTCTTTTCCAAGGAAGGAGGAGTGCTGCTCTATATGGGTCAAGAGCAAGGAAATTTATTGGGTTATAACTTGGGGCATGATGACTCTCTTTCTCTTGGGCTAGAATTTTCTTGGGGTTCTCTCACTTTTTTATGACATGGGTGCTTGAAATGCCCTAGAGCACCGCCGCCTGCTCTCCATCAGACCCATAGGAGACACTCTCTTCCTTCTCTGCCCTCTTCCCTTAAGCCCACGCACATATTTTATCTCCTTATTTCTTACCACTCATACGGCAAGGAAAATAGAGTCTAAGGGAAAGCACCTAAAAACGTGATGCAGAGCAGTGGACCCAGTACAGGCTTTTCAGTCTTTCATTCGTTCTTTCATTTCTTCTTAGTATTATTCATTCCTTCTGTTAACATCCCATTTCTGGGACAAGCGGGGTGTGATTACTGCTCATGCGCTGACCCACCTATATCTTTACCACCTGGTAAACAAAGAGAAAGAACTTGAACTCTTCCTGAAACCTCCCTTCCTCAGTTCATGGACATGTGGATTTTTCCCTAAAACCAAAAGGCATTTATCAGTCAATGTGTACCTTGAAAAAAGCACATTAGAAAAGGAATTACTGAATTTTTGGTCCATCTTCTGGCCAATAGCATTTTAGAAAATCTGCATTTTTATCCCCTTTCCCCCACCCTCCTACCGATCAGGATCTTCTTGGGATGTAAATTTCATGTCTAGCCTTTTCAATTAAATAAAATGTGGTGACCACTTCCTTGATCACTCAACATTCTACAGAAACTTCTTTTACAAATGACTGTACTTTAGTAAACAGTATCAGTGTGCCACAATTTATGTAACTAGTCACCCGGAGTCTGTCTGTTATTAACAGAAGTCTCACAAAACCTAGAACAGAAATTCAGGGTTGATGCTATCTATCATTGCTATGTATTCCTACCTTGGAGACCTGAGTTAACTAAATTATGGAGGATGGATTTGGAATGACTATTTAGAAAGTAATTCTTGATTCAGTAAGGAAGACTTAGCTATTTCATGAAAGGAATTTGAGATGCAATTAAATTATTTCTGATTTTAAAAAGAATGAGATATGTGAGCTCCTTCATGGGTTTAATCACCCATCCTTAAGAATACAAACAAGTGTAGAATACGAACCACAAAAAAACAGAGACATTGCATCTACACATCTTTTATTAATCAACAGACACCCAGAAACTCTCAATGAATACCTCTCATAAAACAGATGAATAATTACAGAAACCAGCTCTATTAGAGTTGCCTCACAGGATTATTTGGAAGATGAAATGAAATATCACCAGCATGTGTAGATCCCCAATAAATGTCAGCGTCATGCGAGCTTTGATTTCATTTGACACTGAAATGCATCAGGTGCTCAGCCATGTCCTGGCAGAATATAAAGCAACAGTGACAGGTGTCCTGATTTTTAAATACCCTGCTTAAATTGATAAATTAGAGACTTTAGATTGAAAATGATCCGATTTCTCAATTTGAAGTAGGAACTGGGAAATCAAACAAATTCCTTCCTTTATAGGAATACAGTCATTTTTCTCTGATGCCGTGGTTAGTTCTTGGCTGGGTATGGGGGAGGGAGGGAGTCATTCTGCTATTCCAGCATTAGGAAATACGCTCGGAACGGTGTTCTGTTGTCAAGTGAAAAGAGAAACAAAGGTGACAGGGTGATGCAGCATCATCTCCTTTTTGCGTGCTCTCTGTCCCTTTAGGACCTCAGTAGCACAGACCTCATCCGGCCCCGCATCAGCCTCGTGTGCCAGATTGTCCGGGTGGGCCACATGGAGCTGAAGGAGGGCAAAAAGCACACGTGTGGGCTCCGAAGACCGTTTGGAGTAGCAGGTACAGAAAGACCCAGGGACGAATGTAAATGGTATAGTCACTGTAAAGGATAGCATGGCAGGGCCTCCAGCAGTTAAACATCGAACTTACGACCCAGGAATCCCACTTTGGGTGTCCACCCAAAAGAACCGGAAGCAGAAGGTTTCAAGATCCTTGTACACCCGGTCTAGAGCAGCCTTATTTACACTAGCCAAAAGGTGGAAGCAACCCAAGTGTCCATGGATGGAGAAATGGATAAAGAAAATGTGGTCTATCCATACAGTGGAGTATCAATCAGCCTGAGAAAGGAAGGAAATTCCACAATGTGGATGAACCTTGAGGATGTTGTATAAAGTGAAATAAGCCAGTCACAAAAAGATAAACACTGCGTGACCCCACTTATATGAGGTACCCAGAGTGGTCAGATTCATTATGCGAGACAGAAGGCAGAGTGGGGCTTGCCAGGGGCTGGGAGAGGGGAAAATGGGGGGAGCTAGTGTTTAAGGGGAACAGAGTTTCAGTTTGGGAAGATGGAAAAGTTCTGGAGAGGGAGAGTGCTGATGGCTGCTCAACATTGTGAATGTACGTAATGCTGCTAAAGTGTACATTTAAGAATGGTTAAAAAAGCAGATTTTACCCCCACCACACGCACACAAAGATACGAGGGAGGGAAACCCAGAGACAGTGTAAGATGAATGTGGTTGTCAACGTGAGTATCGGACACACAGCGTTTGCTTGGGGCTCCCAGGTATGTTTTCTCGGGGGTTCTGTGTCCTCACCTAGACCCTGCCTCCTTTGTTTCTCCCTCGGTGCCCCGCACAGCGCCTTGTGCACAGTAGGACTGTAGTAAAGCCTCTGTTGTGACTATTGGCATTCTCCCTGCCTGCAGGCTACGTATTGATTTCAGTCCAGTAAAATTCTCCCTGGAAAGTGGTTTGCCTGTCTGGGAGATTGACTCTTCAAAGGCAGCACTGGGTTTGTAACCTCTTTCAAAGAGGGTCCCTGGCTTAAATCAAGCCCCACAGCCTCCTGAGAGGCCCTGCATTTTCTTCTATAGTTTCTTTTTTTTTTTTTAAAGATTTTATTTATTTATTTGACAAAGAGAGAGACAGCAAGAGAGGGAACACAAGCAGGGGGAGTGGGAGAGGGAGGAGCAGGCTTCCCGCTGAGCAGGGAGCCCAAAGCGGGGCTCAATCCCAGGACGCTGGGATCATGACCTGAGCCGAAGGCAGACGCTTAACGACTGAGCCACCCATGCGCCCTCTTCTGTAGTTTCTTAAATTAAGGAAATACATTCCTGGTCATACATTGACGTTCTAGTCACTAAGGAATTTTGAAAGCTATCAGTGAAATGCCATAATTCTCTTGGAACAAATGGCCAGAAAATGTCAGCAAGACTGACCTTGTGGGTTGTGTGGGTAACGAGGCTTCCTCTGCATGAGACTATGTATATTGTCATTCCTTGACCAACCTTGCACTCCCACTTGCTGCTCAAGGTCTGCCAGTCTCTGAGGAGGGCACAGCATTACTTCTGATAGACAAATAAAATGAAATCTCAGAAAAGGGAAGGAACCCTAGTACAATTTAGCCGTCTATATGACAGTCCACTGAACTAAGAATTTAGGGCATACTTAAAGGTCACTGCCATTCAAAATGGGCCAAAGAGATTTAAATATGAAGCTTTTGCTTGCTTTTCTGTTTCCGGGTGGGTGGATGGGTGGGTGTGTGTGTGTACGGAGAGAAGAGTAATTTCCTCTGAGCTTTGATGCCAAGCATCGATTAGCAGAGATCTAGAGTAACAACATGACGGCATCGACAAATGAACTGCCCCTTGGAAGAGGGGGTGCACCAGATACGGATTTTTCAGTATTTTTTTTGGAACAGTGTTTGCAGGGGCCTTTTAAGGGCTGACAGCAAGCTTTTGCAGCACCCTTTCACCAACATTATTATTTCCCAAGCCTTACCCACTGTGGTTTGGGTCGCTTTGAGAAGGCATTTCCTTCCTTATCCTTCAGTTTTTCCTACAAGAAATGTCTCCTATCTCTGTACTTCTTCTAATCTCCAAACAGGTTATCTGGGGAGTGGATGGTGAGTGTGTGTTTTATGGCTAGATTGTAATTCATTAACCCAGGGCTCGCCTCTTGGCTGTGGGCCCTCCCTGGTCTGAACAGCTGTAGGATGACCCACTTACTAGTTCTCTGGGCAGCAGGGCATGGTTGGCTTAAGTGATTTGGCCCCATAATCGCTGTTGGGTTCATACCCTGGCTTCACCACGTAAAACTTCTGATCTGGGGCAAGTTACCAACCTTTCCTGTGCTCAGTGTCCTCATCTCTCTCTCTCTTTTTTTTAAAGATTTTATTTGAATGAGAGAGAGCGTGTGAAAGGGGGTCAGAGGGAGAAGCAGACTCCCCGTGGAGCAGGGAGCCCGATGTGGGGCTCGATCCCAGGATCCTGGAACCATGACCTGAGCCAAAGGCAGATGCTTAACGACTGAGCCACCCAGGCGCCCGTGTTTCCTCATCTCGTAAAGTAGGGCAAATAATAGTATCGGTATAAGTAAAATAATAGACACAGTAGGCACAGGACCGTGCTGTATTCGTTGCTCTTCTTGTGCACAAAGCAGCAAATCGCTATGTGATCTTTTGTCCCGTGTTGCTGGAGCCCTGGCTTCCCTCCATGTATGTGGAAGCTGGCTGCAACCGTGTCAAGTCCAAGGGACGGTTGACCCCTTCGAGCCTTGAGTTTCTCTCTCAGGTCTCCATTCTGTTGACACTCCTGACAAAAAATACGTGTGCTCTGTGTCTTTGAATGCAGGCTTGCTAAAACAAAACAAAACCAATCTGGTTTCCGATTTCTCAAGAATTTAGCACTTGGTCGTGAGAAATTTAAAGAGCGGGGATCTGCCGGATTGATCTGAGAAAAATCCAAACCCGTGCCCGAGCTCCCGATGAATTGTTCTGCAGGCTGGGCACTGGGAGTCATCGCTGGCAAAGACCTCGTGTCCCCGCGTGGTATCTGTCTTCTCTCGTGTCCTGTGTTTGCAGATACCGTAGTTTTCCGTAGTAACTTACTGAAGCCCGAAGCAATTAAGTTCTTTAATTAAGTTTTATCTTTTTCCTAGTGATGGATATTACTGATATCATCCATGGGAAGGTGGATGATGAAGAAAAGCAGCATTTTATTCCCTTTCAGCAGTAAGTACTTTGGCATTGATCCCGGTGACTTGAGACCTGGATTAGTTCTTTGAATGATCTGTTAACACAGAACCAGGTGCTAGGAACCATTTGCTCAGTTACAGAAGGAAAGCCTCGTAAGCTGGAAGACCATGAGATAGAAGCTGACAGAAGACTTTGTTCAAGGTCCTTTATATTGGGATCACATGGAGGAGTGTAAGCTTAGCTTTTCTGATTCTGCAGAAAGGACGGATGGAATAGAAGGGGCAAGTCTGTGTCTGCACCAGAAGCCAGAGAATGGTGCCCTGTAGGTGTCAGGAAGGCCAAAGTGTATTTGCACTCTTGTCTGGAGCAGGTATCGCAGAAGACAAGGCATCCTGTTCTCTGGAGATCTTGTCAGAATGCAGAACGTGGTCTGGTGGGTCTGGAGGCTGGTGGCTGACAGGCCACCAGCTGCTGCCACCAGACCGGAGACCACGCTTTGAGTAGAAGGAGTTTAGGAGGTTTGAACCAGTGATGCCTGGGCTCCTGCTGGCGGAGGGAAAGCCAGCCTGGGATGACACGGGAGGATTCCCTGAAATGTTCTGCTAAGGCCTCCCCACTGAGCTTCAGGAGCTGGAGCCCCGCGTGGGCGCCTGGGGAGTCGTGGGCCAGCAGATGTGAACCCACAGGGCTCTGAAGAAGCGTATGTGTGAACATCATGGCTCTAGCAGTCATTCTCGCCTTACCCCGAGCGCGGGTGGGGGTGGCCTCGGGGAGGCGGCGGACGATGCTGGAACGGAGTCCTAACAGGGCGATCGTGTCAGGTAGAGAAGGTGACTGTCTCAGCCAGCCTGCAGCTGCCACAGCGGATCAGTACAACCGCTGAGAATTCTGGAAACCAGCCCAAGGATGTTGGAATTAATATATGATTTTTAAACAATCATAGCGCAAATCAGTGGAGAAATAGCAGCTATGAGGAAATGAGTTGTTTGACACAATTAGCTACCCACTTACGAAACCTAAGTTAGAGCCTTGTCGCACATCGTGTGCCCCTGGAAATTCCGGGTGATTAAATGTGTAAGTGTAAGAACTAAAATCTTAAAATACTACAGGAAAATAGAAGTCTTATGGAATAGTGGTATGTGGGAGGCCTTGCTGACTCAGACTGCAAAGATCTGACCGAAAAAGAAAAATTGACAGGTTAAACCACACAAAAATGTTAAATAACTTAGGTACAGAATAAAATTTAGTAAAATCTTTGCAATGTGTATGAAAAAAGGATGAATATTGTTACTATATAATTAATAGAAATTCATAAAGGTATGAACAGAAAATAATATATGTGTGTATATACACACACACACAAGCATGCACACATACACAGAAAGAAATGGCCTATAAATTCATTGAGAATCAATGCAATGCAAATTAAACAAGGAGGTTTGGCATTTGGTTTGACTGAGTTTTAAAAATATATACAATACCCAGAGTTTGGCTGGGTAGGAGGAAATATACAGTACTTATAAGAATATAAATTGTTACAGTGCATTGGAAGCCTCAAAATTTAGATATTTTGGAGAATATACTCCATAATTAACAGTGATTACTTCTGTTGATGTAACCAAAGGTGATTTTGCCTCATTTTTGTTTAACTCTGTATTATATTTTGTACAAAAAATATGTATTATATTTAATTTTATTTAAATTTTAAAAATCTTTCTCTTTCAGTTTAAATCCCACTACCTTAGACCATTTTCTAAATATAACAGTGCAAATAGCTCTTGCTAAGTAGTACTTCCTTCCTTCATCCAGAGGCTATTAATAATTTTTAAATGCGCTTATCTAGTATCCTACCACCTATATACTGACCCTACCAGAATGTGGTGAGGTAAATATTTTATGTAGCTTAATGCTAATTTGAATTATGAAGTGACTCAAATTCATGAATGCTGATCCCAATATAAATGTATACATACCCATTCAAGTATGTTAAGTGTATTAAGTGTAACAGATATAGTAACTATAATATTTTATTACTACATTAAGTTAAATGTATCAATATATTAAATATATGACTATATCTTAAGCATTAATGAGTAAATATTAAATAAATAATATATAGAGAATAAATATGAATATATATTTAGATATATTAAAATGTATATATTATAAACATAAAGAACTTTCACGTCCATGGATGTTCCTATTATATATACGTATAATTTTATTTATCACTATTATATGTGCATTATGTATATACGCATATTATATGTGTATATACATAATAGGAGCAGCATGCATGGATGTGAAAGTTACTCTGTATGTTTGTTTCACTACTGAGGTGGGTTTCTTCCTTTGATTTTGTGCCCCCCTGCCTAATTTCTGAACCAGCTCCCAGCAGCCATGTTGAACAGTGAGCCCTGAGATTGCCTTCACTGTATAATAATAGGCGCTTTGAGTTTCCAAGGAGCCCAGCCCTAATTTGATTGCCATTCACTGTGCAGCCAGCAGCCCCTGTAAAGCATTCATGAGGCAAATCACAGTCTCTGGCTTTTAACTCCTAAGATTTATGGCAAATGCTTTCATAGCTTACCTCATCAATGAGCTTTACAGCGTATTATATGAGGAGAGTCTCCTGGATGGATTCTGCTAGTCCATCGAAGCGAGAGTCCTTTGAAGAGAGCCACTCAGATCCCAGCCATATTTGGTATTTGGTTTGACCGAGACATGGTAGTACATTTCCCTGCTACTATCAGGGTCGAGATCAGAAGCCTGCAGAGAAAGCTGGCCTGCGTCACGGGCAAGAGAACAAAACCACAGCAGAGAGGGAGCTGCCGACCTGCACCAGGCTGATACGGAGTTCCTGAGGGTGCTCGTGCTGTCGGGAGGGGCTGTGTTTGGGTCTTGGATCTCAGCCTGTGGGCTCATGAAAGTGAAGCTTGTTTGCCGGTGGCTGTGCCATGGAGTTTGCCGTCACATGAGAATCTAAGAACGCCCTCCAGAAGCTACTGCGTGCATGCCGCTCTTGTCTGTGCGTCAAGTGTTGGTGCCAGATGGAGGCCTTTGAAGGCATCTGATCTAGGCCCAGCATGCAGATGAGGATACTGAGGCCTGGAGCGTATGTCAGGTAGAACCAGGACTGGAGGCCAGATCACCTGTCCCATCCCTCCTGCACTTCACTTCCATTATGTCAGCCTGTCCCACCTCAGAAAGAGCATTAGGCCTTGCCTCTGGTTTTGTTAACATTTGGCCATCAGTTTTGTTTGTTCTTAGGAGGTTTGTTTTTTCCTTTTTCCACGGGGGTGTCTATCTTAGACACCAAATTCATCTTGGAAATGACCAAGATAGGCACCCCATGGAAAAATAAAGGAAAAGGAGAGTCCTCTCATGAGGTGGGTCTAGTGTTTAGATTTCCAGATTATTCCCATAGAATCCACGCTGTCTGAAGCTGTGCTATAGAAACTTCCTCTTTTTTCCTTACCTCTCATTTCTGACTTCCCCAGAATTGCAATGGAAACCTATATCCGGCAGAGACAGCTAATCATGTCGCCCCTGATAACATCCCATGTGATTGGGGAGAATGAGCCACTCACTTCAGTCTTGAATAAAGTGATAGCAGCGAAGGAAGTGAATCACAAAGGACAAGGTACACAGCCCTGCGTACTAAGCTGGGAGGGGGCTTGGCGGGGCAGCATTGGAACTGGGTCCTTGGACTCTGGCCCTTTTCCCTATCTTTGATGCAGAGCAGACCCTGCTGGGGATTGCTCACCTCAGCTTCCTGCTGAAGGCATTTTACACTGAAGAGTGCGGAGGCTGCACTCAGCACTGAATTGGATCACAGCTGTATTTTGTAAATTCTGTGGAACAAATTTTTATCCCATGAGTCCTTTTTCAGTTTTGTCTCCCCTTATATTAAGTAAAATTAAGAGGAAAGAGACCAAAGTAATACAAATGAACAGATACTAATTTTTTTTTAAGATTTGATTTATTTATTTGAGGGAGAGAGAGAGAGAGAGAGAGCGCGAGCTCAAGCCGGGGGAGGGAGGGAGAAGCAGACCCCCTACTGAGCAGGGAGCCTGATGGATGCAGGATCATGACCTGAGCTAAAGGCAGATGCTTAAACCAACTGAGCCACCCAGGCGCCCCTGAACAGATATTAATATGAAATAACGTGCTAGCTAGCAAAACATTTTGAGTTGTTTTTAGTGCTTCCATATATCGTTCTGTTGACAATTTTAACTAGGAAATTCCATTCATTGAAACTGCATTTTAAATTCAAATAATATTTTAAAAACTAGTTAAAATTTTAAAATTCAAATACCATGATGGTGATGATTTGGGGATAATTTTGAAGATTGGGTCACTTTTCTTTTTTTTTTTTTTTTAAACCACCCTGTAACTATCTTCTACTGAAGTGGAGGCAATCAGGAAACACATTATTTTCAGCATATTCCATTTTCCATATATTCACAGTTGTTCTGGGTAGGAAAGACATGTGAGGAATCATTAAAGAATCTGAAATACATTTCTGTTGCTTTAGAACTCGTAGCCTAGGGTATGATTTATTAGAGTGGAAAGTCCTTATACTAAATAAATTGCTGTGTATATGTAATTTCTTTTTTTTTCCCCAAACAAAAGTGAAAAAAAAAATATTTGCTTTCTTGCTGCTTAATGAAGCAAGTACTTTCCAAATGTTTTTATGCTCATTACAAATATTTTTCGGTGGCTGGCTGCATGATATTCCATTGCTTGGATTTAAGAAAATTTCATCCCCCTAGGGAAACACTTAAGTGTGTTTTCTATTTTGTAACCATTATAAATTTCAATAACTGCTGTGACTACTTTTATACATGAAGCTTTTTCCATATTTAGGATTGCCTCCCCAAGAAAATTCCCAGAAATAGGACTCCTAGGGCAGATTATGGGAACAAGCTCAAACTCAGAGATAACACATATTACCAGATTGCTTTCCATCGACTTCTGCCAGTGGGTGCTGATTACCACGGTGCCTGGTTGGCAAGCTGATAGTTAAAAATCTTTAACTGTTTGTTGGGCGCCTGGGTGGCTCAGTTGGTTAAGTTGATTTTGGCTCAGGTCATGATCTCAGGGTTGTGAGATCCAGCCAGGTGTCAGGCTCCATGTTGGGTATGGAGCCTGCTTAGGATTCTCTCCCCCTCGCCCGTTCCCTGCTAGTCCTGTGGTCATTCTCTCTTGAAAAAAAAAAAATCTTAAAAAATTTTTTTACCTATTTGAAAGGTGAAAAGTAGACTTCCATAGTTTTCTTGCAGTTTTAAAAAAAAACTACTTGAGGGGTGCCTGGGTGGCTCAGTCATTAAGCGTCTGCCTTCGGCTCAGGTCATGATCTCAGGGTCCTGGGATCCAGCCCCGCATCGGGCTCCCTACTCTGTGAGAAGCCTACTTCTCCCTCTCCCATTCCCCCTGCTTATATTCCCTCTCTCACTGTGTCTCTCTCTGTCAAATAAATAAAATCTTTAAAAAAAAATTTTTTTTTAATTTAAAAAACTACTTGGTGGTGAATTACCTACCCTTCCTATGCATTTGTGAGTTTTTCTAAAGTTTTCCTTCTCAGTTACTATGAAGATAACAATGTCTTATATAGAACATGTATTTTTCAATTTTTGATTTGTCAAATATTTACCAACTTCGTGTACTTCTTTGTGAATTGTCTATACACGTTCCATTTATTTGATGTTTTTCTTGTAATTTCTTATAGGTATTTCAGCATTGGTAGCCTGCCTTTCACTTCTTTATAAATATCAAAACTTTCCATTTGTGTATAGATAATTCTTTTTTTAAGATTTATTTATTTATTTTAGAGAGAGCATGCACATGCACATGCACACAAGTGTGGGAAGGGGCAGAGGGAGAGGGAGAGAATCCTCAAGCAGACTCCCTGCTGAGTGTGGAGCCCCATATGGGACTTGATCCCAGGACCCTGGGATCGTGACCTGAGCCAAAATCAAGAGTTGGACGCTTAACTGACTGAGCCACCCAGATGCCCCTAGAAAATTCTTTTTGTATGTGATTTCTTCATTTGTCTCTAAACTTAGGAAAAAGGTTCATTTTATTTCTTTATTATATTAGGAATTTATTTTAATGAAAACGTGAGGTGAGAAATTTGATTCTCTTTTAAGTAGCAAGAAAATTATTCCAGCACATTTATGAAATTGTTGTTTCTTTTTTCAGGATTTGTTATGTGTCTTTACTATATATTAAATTGCTATATATTATAGTACTTAATCTAATTGTTTCCATTGATTTATATATCTTTTCTACCACTAATACAACACTTCATTACAGCTGTACAATATTTTGGTATCTGATAGGGGCTGTCTTTACTCGTGTTTTTTTCCCCCCAAAGTAAACATCTGTTCACACCCCTGTCAAATTCTCAAGGAAGTCTTGTGATTTTGACAGGAGTGTCATGAAAATTATAAGTTAACTGGGGGAGAATTTACATTTTTATAATAAAGTATCTGTATGTTAATACAATGCATATTTTTTTTCAGCATTTCCCTGTGTGTTTATGGTATAGATCATAAAGAGAACTAAAAGTTCATCCTTTATTTCTTTAAAGGACTTTGGGTATCTTTGAAGCTTTTGCCAGGTGACCTCTCGCAGGTTCAGAAGAATTTTTCACACCTGGTGGATAGATCAACTGCAATCGCCCGAAAAATGGGCTTTCCTGAAATAATACTTCCAGGTAAAAGCTTTTACGTGGTTCACCTGTTATGCATCCTTTAGTTCTTCCTTCCATGCAGCAGTTACTTCTAACGGGATGGTTGAGGCAATGCAAGAACCTCTGTGGTCTTTAGCGACTCACATCTGTGGTATCGAGACAGTGGGAGACTCCAGGAGGGTTGCAGTACCCAGTGCGTGAGCCCAAGATGATGCTTCTACGTGTAACTCAGAGTTTCCTTGTCACACTCTTCCTCTCTCCTCTGCACGAGCCCCTCTGAAATTCTCCCTTACATTATCCATTAAGGATCGCTAATGGTAACACAGGTTTTGTGCCCCAAGAGTGATTTGCCTTGTCGCATGTCCCTTTCTCAGGATGACATCACCAGCACTGGGGGCTGCTGGCCAGGAAGCTCCAGCGAGGTCCCTGCTCAGCACAGTGTCCGCCAGAACCTTTGCCCCATTTGCTTGAACTCCGACTGTGTGCTTGGCTCTCCCCATACATGTGGTGACAAGAATGTAAACATTCTACGGTTTTCTTACTCGTTTTGTCTTTTTTGGCACCATATGTTGGTGATCTGCATATGTGTTCTCTTGATTTTGCTGACTTAACCCATTTGCTTTTTTTTTTTTTTTTTTAAGATCTTATTTATTTATTTGACAGAAAGAAATAGCACAAATAGACAGAGCGGCAGGCAGAGGGAGAGGGAGAAGCAGGCTCTCCGCTGAGCAGGAAGCCCGATGTGGGGCTCGATCCCAGGACCCTGGGATCATGACCTGAGCTGAAGGCAGCCGCTTAACCGACTGAGCCACCCAGGCGCCCCCCCATTTGCTTTCTTTTTTCTTTTTTTTTTTTTAAGATTTTATTTATTCATTTGAGACACAGAGAGAGAGAGAGCATGAGCAGGGGGAGGGGCAGAGGCAGAGGGAGAAGCAGGCTCCCCGCTGAGCCAGGAGCCCAATGCGGGGCTCGATCCCAGCACCCTGGGATCATGACCTGAGCCGAAGGCAGACGCTTAACCATCTGAGCCACCCAGGTGCCCCCAGTTTGATTTCTTAATCTTTATAGTAATGAAAGGAAATCATCTCAAGGAACTTTATATAAGATATATATATGTATTACATGAAGCGTATGTGTTACAAATATTAAAAGATGATATTACATATTTTATAGATAGGCAGATAGAATATATAAATAAGTAACCTTTGACATGCTAGAAAAATTTTAGAAAACGATGCTGTTGTCTACTGCATAAAAATTGGGGTTCTTTTAAAGTAACACAACCTCTTATTCCTCCTTCTGGAGATTAAGGAGCAGTAATAATGTGTTGCCACACACATCGTCTGCATGTAGCAGGCATTAAAAAGGATGAATGCGAAGAAGAGCTATCTGTAAAATGGAGACCATCTTTTTCTTTTCTCGTGAAAGAAGGTGGTTCTTCGTCTGCTGATGTTATCCCTTTTGGACTCACTCAGCCCAATCCATCTTCATCTTTATTCTGTGAAAGTGTCTGTCTTCTTGTTTAAAAAAATAAGCATCGGTAATATTCCTATAACTGACGGCAGTATTATTACTACAGGAAGAATGAAATCTGAAACAATAAAATGGAGAAGTTTATTTTTTCGGGCAAAGTGAAATTTCTCTTTGCAGTCTGGCTAGAAGATTCTTTCCGATCTTTCTAGTCAATAGGATTGCCTCCCGGACTGCCAGAGCTGTCATAGGCTTGGAAAGTCATCTCAGACAATGGTTCCCAGATGCTGGTCTTTGGATCAGCTCAGAAACATTAAAATACAGGTTCCCACAGTGTTCCAGAGACTCCGATTCAGTTTGTAAGACCAGGGCTCCCCAGTGATTCTGGTGATCAGCCAGGTTTGAGAAATAAGAGGTTCAGACCAAAGTTCCTTACCTTGTTGCTCCTCATCACCATTTGAACAGACTCCAGACATCTTAAGCCCTTCCCTCAGCCTGACTTTCCCCTCTAGCCCAGGTGCTCCTGCTGTCTGCCCCCATCTGCACATCCAGAATCTCAGAAGCCATCGCATAACGTACTCTCTGTCTCTCTTTCTGCATCTGTCAGTCACCGTCTGTCCTGTCCAGAATGGTGTCACTAGAGTCCCCCTAGAGTGTAATGTCACTAAGTCCAGTGGATATTTTTTAGCCTAAAGATTGTCTCGGCTTCCCTCGGCAGCACGTGACATTGTTGACCACCCCTTGTGGAACCGGTCCTCCCTCATCATCAGGGACTTGCACTCTTCTCTTTGTCTCCATTCCCCTTTGCCACCATGTCACCTTCGACCTTGCCTTTAAATGTTAAGAGTTCCCCAGTGTCTGGTCCTTCTGTCCTCTATTAGTTTGCTCGGGCTGATAAAGTACCACATGCTAGGCAGCTTCAGCAACAGACATTTATTTTCTCACACTTCTGGAGGCCGGATGTCTGAGATGTCAGCGGGGCTGGTTTCTTCCGAGCCTCCCTTCTTGGCTAGGAGATGGCCGTCTTCTTGCTACATCCTCACATGGTCACCCCTGGGTCTACTCTCTTCTTGTAAGGATTTTCCAAGTTTTATTGGATTAGTGCCCACTATATGACCTCATTTTACCTTAGTCACCTGTTTAAGCAGCCCGTCTCCAAATACAGTCGCATTTGGAGGTATTAGGGGTGAGGGCTTCGTCATATGACTTTAGGGGGAACAGTTCAGTCCGTAACAGCCTCTTTTCCTTCTCATGCCTGTATTCTCTTCCTGTGTGATCTCATCCACTCACTTTGCCTCTGTGTGTTAGTTGCTTCTAACTTCGTGTCCGTAGCCTCAAGACTGCTCCTTTGAACTCCATTGCCATGGATCCAACTACTTCCTGCCTTGGGACTTCAGTAGCTACTATTCCTACCTGAATGGATCTCTCTTCTCTCTTTAACTGGTTAATTCTTACTCACACCCTCCAGACACAGTTGGGACTTAGTGTTATGCCTTCACAGAGCCTGACCCTTTTCCTTCATTTGTAATGATGCATTTTGTCCTGTGATTATCTGCTAATGCTTCTCTCCTCCACTAGACCGTAGGCTGTATGAGAGCGAGGCTGGTGCACGGATCACCATTGTCTCCCAAACACCTGGCACAGTGCTTGGTACAGAGTAGGTGCTCAGTCAGTTTTTTAAATGAATAAGTGAATATTATCTCATCTGATTGTACCGTATTCAGACTGCTGCCTATTGTTGGAAATTGAGGATTTTCCAAGTTTTCACTTTTGTAAACAACACCACAATGAATATCCTTATAGATAAATTTTTGCTTACATTCTTAATACTGTGGGACAAATATTACCAGTGAAGTTGCTTTGTCAGATAAGGCTTTTTAACACAAATTGTTCGTTTCTCTATTGACAAAGCGTATGTCAATTAAGATTTCAAACTGTGTTGTATGAATAAGTCCCTTTTGCTTCACCTTAACCAACTGTGGGCAAGACCTTAATTTTTTTTCTAAGCAGATGAGTGATGAAAATGAAAAGTGCTCTAACTGTGCACCCCTGTGTTCTTATAGTGCTAGAAGGTTTTATTTTTTTACATTGGGAAGCAGTTTAATATAGAATAGATTTTGGAGTCCTTTTTATAATACCGAGCCTTCCTGGCCAGGAACTTGGCATGCCTTTCATTCATTCTAGGTTTTGTTTAAGCATCTTACTAACATTTACTTTTTTTCTTCACTGTGGGGGCTTTTCATTTGCTAATTAATTTTTAAAATTTTGTGCTGGACAACCAAGAAAATGACAAGGGGAAATGATTCTGACAGTGGTAAAAACAATTAAGCTGATTTAAATAAACGTAATGATTACCTGTAAGACACGTTGAACAGTGCCTAGCATGGAGGAAGCACCCAATAAACATTAGCTTTTGTTATTTTCAGATGTGTTAAAATACCACCCTCCAAGGCATTATTAAAAAAAATCTGCTACTGTAACCTAATAAAATACATTGTGTACTTATTATTAGAAAGCAGTTATTAATAAACAGAACAAAGGATTACTATTGAAAAGAGTTCATTTTAAAACACTGCATTTCAGAGACACTTTGGTATGTATGGAAAGATAGGCTGAGGGAAGCTGAAGAGGACAATACATATAAAAACTTCTGCTGTATGAATAGCTCCCTAGAAAGTCAGAGCATTTCTTTTGGTGTTGTTAAGATTTTATTTATTTATTTGAGAGAGAGAGAGAGAGTGAGCGAGAGAGAGAGCACAAGTGGTGGGGGAGGGGCAGGGGGAGAAACAGACTTCCCATGGAGCAGGGAGCCCAACGTGGGACTCGATCCCAGGACCCCGAGATCATGACCCGAGCCTAAGGCAGATGCTTCACCGACTGAGCCACCCGGGTGCCCCAAGTGAGATCATTTCATATTTTATCTACATGTTATATCTTATTACATCCTGAACATTCAAAATGACTTCTCTCAGTACCACTCACAGGATGGGTTGTCCTATTGCAGGGGACGTGCGGAATGATATTTATGTCACTTTGATCCACGGGGAGTTTGACAAAGGGAAAAAGAAGACGCCAAAGAACGTGGAGGTGACCATGTCTGTGTACGATGAGGAGGGCAAGCTCCTGGAGGTAGGTGGGGCTGCCCAGAAATCCTGCTGCCATCACACGCTTCTTTCCAACAGGGGACTTTGGTCTGAGGTGACTTGCTCTCCACATTAGTGTGCATTTGTTTTTTTCATAAGGAAAAAGGATGAAACCTGTTAGATTTGTGATTAGCAATTACCAAGTTTACTAAGAAACCCATTTAGACTCTTATTTTCATTATTTCTCCCATTCTAAGAAGTATCTCCAGCTACTAGTGATTTCATGTGTATGCTTCTGATCCAGAAGTTCTATATCATTGGCAAGTTATTTGGCCACTTTCAAGCGAGGTACGTCCCTGTGGAGCTGGAGCGAAGTAGTGCAGATGCCCAGAAGGTGCTGCAGGGCCCCCTTCCTGTACCAAGTCCGCAGAACCAGAGGAGACACACCCTGTAGAGAGCTGTTAAACATCGACTCCCACTGGTCTTTAGGTTTTGTTTTAGTAATCAGGAAACTGCAACCCAAAAGGGGTAGGATGGTGCTGGGTCCCTTAGTGACTACCACAGTTATACACTTAGACCCTCAAAGAAAGGAGTAGAAACTCATTCTTAACCCTACTCTTCAGCCTCCAAATGTGATTGGTGGATGTGTGCCAGTGTGAGACACGTGCTGGCCGCGTGGAGAGTAGAGGGCTCATGCATGGCGTGTGCAGTTCTCTTATTTTTCTAGATGAAATCATCCGCTCTAAGTATTTACCCCCAAAATACAAAAACAGTAACTCAAAAGGATACATGCACCGCTTTGTTTATAGCAGCATTATTTACGATAGCCAAGTTACGGAAACAGCCCAGTGTCCATCGACTGATGAATGGATAAAGAAGATGTGTGTGTGTGTGTATGTTTGTGTGTGTGTGTGTGTATACACACACAATGGAATATTACTCAGCCATCAAAAGAATGAAATCTTGCCATTGGCAACAACATGGATGGAGCTAGAGAGTGCTATGCTAAGTGAAATAAGTCAGTCAGAGAAAGACAAATATTATATGACTTCACGCATATGTGGAATTTAAGAAACAAAACAAATGAGCAAAGGGGAAAAAAAGAGACAAACCAAGAAACAGATTCTTACCCATAGAGAACAGATGGCTACCAGAGGGGAGGTGGGTGGGGTGATGGGTGAAATAGGGGATGAGGATTCAGAGCACACTTGTGATGAGCACTGAGTAATGTACAGAATTGTTGAATCACTGTATTATACATCAGAAACTAATATAGCACTGTATGTCAACTATACTGGAATTAAAATAAAAAACAATTTAAAAAATCCTCTTTTAATTTTTTCTTCCCATCCAAAGAAAGCAATTCATCCTGGTGCTGGATATGAAGGCATTTCAGAGTACAAATCAGTAGTCTATTACCAAGTCAAGCAGCCCTGTTGGTATGAGACTGTCAAGGTGAGATGCGCCATTTGTAATCTCCATCATATATTAAGTAATCTCCATCATATATTAAACCTTGTTTAGATTCCTTTCTTCTTTTTACTCACAAATCATTCCTTCTTTATCCTGAAGTTATAGATCGGTTGCCTGTGGTGTCCTATAAGAAATGAATTGATACAATTCTGCATGAGAGTATTTATCTTTAACTCAGAATTCTTAAATAACATTCTCATTGATAAATGTGTAGAAATTTGACTAGAGACGCTTGTAGTTGTAATGATGTAATAGGCTGCCAAGATGATCTAAAACCAAATGGAAATTTTCACACTCTGCAAGCAGTTGCCTAACATGTTTTTTCTTCTTGGCTTCTGACCAAGTTTTCTGGGCCTCTTTTCAATTTAAATATGTGTATTACAAATTCCCAAGTGCTTTTTAGATAAGACATCCCCTGTGAGTCGCTCAGTAGCCCTGTGGCTAAAACAGTGTCGTAATGCCCTTTCTGATTAGGTAACCAAGACTCAAAAATGGTCAGGTGACTTTCCAAGATCCTGTAACTGCTTAATATCCAAACCTAAATTGGAGCCCACTTCTTGATTGTCAAAATCAAATCTGATTGTCAAAGTCTTATGAGCTCTCCTTAGAAAACTCAAAAAAAAAAATTGCACTAATATCTCAATGCAGAAGTAATCATTTTCCACAATTTTATATACTTCATATGTTTTGGAATGTGCTGTTTATAACAGGTCTATGTTGTGCTTTTTAAAACTACTTATCTCAAGGCATTAAAAGTTCTTCAGAAGTGGGTCTCTAGGTACTCGAATAATATTCCATTATATGATCATGCTATAATTTATTTAACTATTTGCCACAAATTCTCTGCTCTTTTCATTGCCATGTACTTCTGTTTTCCTTGTCCCCTCTATATATGGAAACAGCAAAAAGCTTCCTTGTCCCCAGTATATTATCTTTTCCTTCTGTTATGGACCCTAATTATTACCATATCAATCAACTTACAATACACCTTGCAGTCTGGAAGCTCCTGTATAGACCCCAAAGTCCTGATCTTTTTCCTCTGAAGTCTTTCCTCTTTCATACTTGAGAACGTACTAGAAATTTGTAATATCGCCATCCTCAGAATCCATGATAAACAGCAAAGATGATTTCTCTTGAGATTCTTTAGGTTTTGAAAATAACTCAATCTGTTTTGAATGGACCTTTACTCTCCATCTCACTCTGTGCTGTAATAAGATACTAAAAATGAACCAACTCTGTAAAATGAGCTAAGAGTGCAACATACTGTGGATATATCAACTGTAAGTTCCTTATTATTGTGCAGGTATCCATCGCTATAGAAGAGGTTACTCGCTGCCATATAAGATTTACCTTCCGACACAGGTCATCTCAGGAATGTAAGTACTAGAAGGTCTACAACATATTTCTGTTAAAAAAAAAAAATATTTACTCTTGCTCGACAGAACTTTTGTGGGTCTGGAAAACAAAATATTTGGAAACTACATACTTAGCACCATTACTTCAGGATTCATGAGTGTTAAGGAAATCAGAGAATGTCACTCATATGTCACTCATATGTGGAATTTAAGAAACAAAACAGATGAACGTAGGGGAAGGGAAGGAAAAATAAAATAAGATAAAAACAGAGAGGGAGGCAGACTATAAGAGACTCTTAACTCTAGGGAACAAACTGAGGGTTGCTGGAGGGGGCGGTGAGGGGAGATGGGGTGACTGGGGGATGGGCATTAAGGAGGTCACATGATGTAATGAGCACTGGGTGTTATATACAACTGATGAATCACTAAACTCTGTGCCTCAAACTAATAATAAATATATGTTAACTACATTGAATTTAAATTTAAAAAATTTTTTAAAAGAATTTCCCCAAAATGTGTTCTATGAATATTAAGGTTCTGTATGATGTTAATAGATGTTCTATAAGGGTTTCACAGGATAGGACATGGGTAGTGGCCTGAAGTCTCTGCTGGTCTGGTTAGGAAGATGAGCAAGAGAAAAGGCAACTAATGTCAGTGTGGTCGGTGCTACACCAGCAAAGAGTTGTAAGGAGGCACGTAGCAAAGCGTCCAGCCCTGTCATCTATGCATGATTTTGACATCCCGAGACTTACAGGTGTAGAAGGAAGAATGATGGTGGAGAAATGTGTTTGAAACCCACAAAGTGAATGCAGTAGGGCTGAAGTGAGAGCGGTGGGAGCAGTCCTAATATTAGGTTGAACCCCACAAAACTGCTGTTTTTGGAGGTCAGTATCAAATAGTCAAATATCAGCAATTTCCTGTGGTTCTACATAATACTAAGCTAGCATTTATCAAGCCCTTAGTTTGTATGAGACACTAAGTGAATCCATTTATTCACTGTGTAGTGTCCACAGTCACCTGATAAGGTGCGTAATGCTTTTATCCACGTTTACACAAAAAACAAAGTGAGGACAGAGAAATGAGATTCTTGCCCAGGGCCACAGGGCTAGGGAGTGACAGAGCGCGGACTGACACCTCAGCAGTCTGAATCCAGGCAGGATGGAGCCACATCATGAGGGATGAAGGTTATTTTGAACCAGGTTATGGAGGAGCCCTTAAAAGGTGTTTTATGGGTGGTGATGGTGGTGGTTGTGGTTTAGTGTATGTTTATAACAGCGTTATTCATAATATCCCCACATTGGATATAGCCTAACGGGTACCAACAGGAGAATGGATAAACGAATTGTAATGTAATCACATAGTGGTTTACCGCTCAGCCAATCTAGGGGCACGTGAGCCACTGCTGACATCAGAGTTGTGCGTGTGATGAGAACAGGCCACAGGTTGTCCCAGGCATCAACACCTAGCTAGGGGATACCTTAGAGGCCAGAGGCCAACACCTAAAGATCCAGAGGGAGGTGCTCTGCTTCCTTGCGGAGGCTGGACCCTCCTGGCACCTGGGCTACTCTCTTGGAAGGAAGAGGTAGCATAATAAACCTTGGAGTATAATTAATACTTCACTGAGTCTATCTTAAAGCAAGAGAAATGAGGTGTCTCATGGAGGTGTTTTGGAGCAGCGTGGTTGACCTGATTAGATAAGCTTTTGGAAATCTCACTCTGGCTGCAGTGTGGAGAAAAGGACTGCTTGGAAAGATCCTCTAGAAATACAGGGAAGACATGAATGTAACTAGGGTAGGAACAGAAAGGAGGGAGAGAAAAGGCACAGGTTTCAGAGGTCTTCAGTACATGGAGTTGACATGGTGGGGGGAAGTCAGTGTCAACATCCACATTTCCGATTGAAGTGATTGGGTAGTTGCTGGTCTCATTCATTTGCAAATGTAGGAAGAAAAACATACGTGGAGGTATTAGAAGATTCCAGTTTGGGGAATATTTCCTTTGAGGGGCCCATGGCATGCACACTACACACGGCTTATTGTAGCTTGCTGAACAGTGTTAATTATAGTGTAATTGAATGTCATACCCTGGAGCAAAATGGGAACTTGTCCATCCCAGCCAGCGCTTCCTGCCGTCTTTCTGCACTGCCCAGACCTGTATTTCTATCTTTTCAGCCAGAGATAAATCAGAGCGAGCCTTTGGCGTGGCCTTCGTGAAACTGATGAACCCGGACGGTACCACTCTGCAGGATGGGAGGCATGATCTGGTGGTTTATAAGGTGCTGCTAACAGAACAAGGCTCAGAAAATGGCTTAGGAAACATTTACTCCCTCTGAAATGGGTTCTCAAAGCTCCAGTCAGAATTATGTGGATAAACATCAGAAACTTGTCGAGAGCTAGAAGTGTTTGCCCCTTAAGTCTAGAAAACCAGAGGGCTCCAGCTGCATGATCTCCCATCCCCTCTCTGTAAGGAGTGAGTTGGATCGTTATCACATCTCCCTCCCCTGCAACGGCGTTCGGTGGCAGTGACTAGTCAAGGGCTGACCTCCTGCCTCTCTTCTGCATCGTCCTGTGTGGAACAGGGCCAGTTGCACTGTTGGGCTTGGTTGGGGTGTGGTGGGCGTGGTAGGATGTGGTTTTCGTATCATCGAGAGCCAGGCACCATTTCTCAGCTAGGGGGGCCTCCCTTCCTTCCTAGCAGTTTGGTCCTCACTCTTTAACTGCTATGGAATTATCTTCTGAGATTTTCAAGTGGAAAGTAGGCACAGGAAGGTCTCGTTTATCTAACGATATCACAGAACCGGTAGCTTCTTTGAGCTGCCTCTACCTGTTGTGGGTCTTCCTTGAACAGCCCCTTATTTCACAGCTAGTTTTGGAAGGCGTCACAAGCTATTTCCTCCCAATGAATCCAGTCAACCCCTCAACCCAGTGACATTTCTGACCATTTACAGGTTCAAGAAAATGAACTCCAACCTCATTCCTTAGTATTGATTTATTTATAGCAGAGATCTAGGATGTTCTCACTTTGGAGTTCACAGCTTATTCCATTTTTATTCAGTGTTGAAATTATTTCTGGGCTCAAACCCTGGAAAAGTATCACAGTGTCTTAGAGTTGGAAGGAGCGTAAGTATAATTTGGTAAAACCATGTTTCACGCCCTGGAAAGGCACCGTGCTCATGATAGAAACCAGTTTTATTTGCATCTAAGAGATTTTGCCCATCATTTGGTGTCCCTCACTTGCTTCCTTTTCAGGGTGACAACAAGAAAATGGAAGATGCTAAGTTCTATCTGACCCTGCCAGGAACTAAGGTAGAGATGGAAGAAAAAGAGCTCCAAGCGTCCAAAACCCTGGCCAACTTTACCCCAAGCAAGGATAGCACAAAAGACAGCTTTCAGATCGCCACCCTCATTTGCTCCACAAAACTCACCCAGAATGGTAGGTGTGGTGAGCACACTGAGCCCACACTGGGTTTTCTGTTTGGTCCCCCTCGGCTCCTTTGTTAGACCCAGAGGGCTGGGCCACATGGGGCTGTGTCTTCCGAGACTGGATGCTGGACACTTCGGATTCTACTCCCTGTTCTTCATGTGATGTTCTGGGTGCTACTGATCACAAAGCTAATACTCACTCTGAGGTTATCTTGCCTGTCTTTCAAATAGGATGAAAAGTAGTTTGGTATTTTTCAAGATCATAAAACCTGTAAATGTATTCATTAACAGAGGCTGAAAATTTTTTGAAGTCTTATGTTTCCTTCCTTCAAAGCAGCAAAGAACTTTACTAATGTACTCTGTATAATACATGAAACAACAGATATTGGTAATAAGGGGGAGGGTACTGGCAGAGAAAAAGAATCAGTCTCTTGCCCAAACAAACAGGTGTGGCTAAGAGCAGGAAGGGTTTGCTGTTAGAATTCCATGTGCCCCCCCACAGAGCCTCCTCTTTCCCATTTTTTTCCCCCAAGCATTCAGGGGCTTTTCATAAAATCAGCTGAATAGTTCAAATGGGCTTCACTTTGTTCCTTCTTGAAATCTATGGTATGAATTTTAACTTCTCTTATGTATATGATGGTATTTGATATCCAATAACAGCTTCTCATTCATTTAACTTACGAGTAAGGGGTCCTGCTGAACTTAGTGAGCCAAGAATGAGGAACTCCGGGAACTTGCCATAGAAATCCTATAGCCCCTATGATGGAGAGAGGATTAATCACTTTGGGCTTTTAGAAGATTTGGGTGAGGAACACGGCTGGGACTCTGCCTTACAGAAGTACGAAGGGATAGACAAAACAGTTTAAACATAAGGTACACTCAGGGATCAGATGTTGGTTGATCTTTAAAAGGGGTCAGTATTGTTTGTTTTGATGAATCATGGTTGGCTAGAGAACATGGATAGTATTTCAACTTGGACAAGTGGCCTTAACAGAGTTAAGTGCAGAGCTGATACACATGTGAAAGTAAAAACACACTCACCAAGAATTAAGCCAGAAAAAAGGCAAATCTGTGGAGACAGTGAAAATTTTCATGGTTGCAAAGGCCTCAGAGAGGAGGGTTGAATAGGCAGAGCACAGGGGATTCCTACAGCAGTAAAGCTGTACTATATGATACTGTGATGAATACATGGGTGCATGTCATTATACATTTGTCAAAAGCCACAGAATGTGCTACATAGAGTAAACCCTAATATATCCTGTGGATTTTAGTTCATGAATGGTATTAATACTAGGTCATCAGTTATAACAGATGTACCACACTAATGTAAGATATTAATAGTAGGGGGAGCTGGGGAGCCCTGAGAGTATATGGGAACTCTCTGCACTTTGTGCTTAATTTTTCAGTAAACCTAAAACTGCTCTCAGAAAAATAAAGTCTATTAAGAGAAAAACAAAAATTAAGCCAGAAAACATTCTGAGCTTCAGAGAAGACATGACAAAACTGTATCAGTGACCTAATCCTTCTTAGGGAAAAAGCAAATGAGATAAACTGCTGGTACCAGGTTAAATGGTACAGTATTTATGGAAGATGATTTAGAAGGTGTATCAAAGGTTTTGAATGTATTCAGACCCTTTGAGCCAGTCGTCTTATCCCTGGAAGTTAAACCTAAGTAAACAATGAAAGATGAGCACAAAGAATCATGTATGAAGATGTCTCCGTATTACTCATAATAGGGGAATAGCAGAAACAATCCAAATGTCCAGTAATTCGGGGCATTATCATGTAATTAAATGACATATGCGCAGCTGCCGAACATATTTCAAAATGTAATCAAAGACATGTGAAAACTTAGCATTAGCCAGGGTATAATCCTAGTTTTGTTTAGATACATGTTGACGATTTGGAGCCAATTGCCTGGGTTCAAGTCCCAACTCTGCCACTAGCTGTTTCCTCTTGGGCAAGCCACATGACCTCTTTGTGACTTGGTGTCCTCGTCTTGAAAATGGGAGTGATACTAGTATATATTTCAAAGAATGAAGTAAATTAAAATAAGTAAAAGCAAAACAAGTGTCTCGCCCATTGTGAACACTGTGTGAATACTAGCCACCACCACCATCATCCTCATCATCATCATATGTACACAGAAGAAGACTAAAAGGAAAGACTCCCGAAGTTGGAACAATAGTTTATTTTCTGTGCTCTTTCTCTTATTTGCCAAACTTTTAACTATGAAATGTTAAAATGGTATTTTGTAAGTATGGCAGCAGACAATACAAAGCATTAATGTACTTTTAGGACTATTAAGGGATAGTCAAGAGAGATGGCATTTATCAAATAGATTATCCTTCCCAGAGATTAGACTTCAAGTAAAGCAAGTGATCAAAGTAGCTAAAATTAACTTACAATGAAAAGCAGAAGGAATTTCCATGAGAGAGAACCATATGGTTCAGTTGTTTATTATCTCCAGTCAAAAATACAGGAAGCGTATGGACAGGCATCAGTACCCAGCTCAGACACTTGATTTGCTGATATCCACCTCGCTCATCTTCTAGATGTTCTAAAGGCGTGCTGTCCCTCTGTGGTGGCCACCAGGCACGTGGAGCTTGCGAAATTTAGTTAGCATAGAGGAAAGTATGGTTGCACTAGGCTCGTTTCAGGTATTCCATGGTTTTGTGCTTCTGGAGGCTTTCGTGTTGGCCAGCAGACACACAACATCACGATCATCCCAGAAAGTTCCATCAGATGGAACTGCCCTGGCTTTGTTGTCCTCCCCATTCCTAGTGTTTAGGTCTCAAAAAACTCAACATACCAAACCGAATGAAAGTCTTACATTCGTATCCCAAAGAAGGTTGAAAGAGGCAGATTCATTGGAACCAGGGAGGAGTGGTGTCCTGTCCTCATGGCCCGGGGTGGGGCTGTGAGGGAGGATAGATGTGAGAAAAGTGAAGAGAACAGTAGGATATCCCAAGCATCAGAGGACACAGGGCCTTCCGAGGGACAAATAACGATAATAAGGGTTGTGGGTGGTTCATGTATTCTCTTTCTTCTAATTCGATGGAAGTTATAAGGAACCAGTTTAATGTATTCTGAGAAAGAGGAAGCTGAAGAACAGTAAGAAAACCTCCACTCCAAGAGGGCACTTCCTGATAAAGAGGGTAGCTCTTCTTTCACAGAGACCATGACCAATGGCATTTCTCCTTAGCTTTACAAAGGACTATTCAGACTCTAAAGGTTAAAAGCCACTGGCCTGTGTTACAAACAGAGCTTATAGACTCTTCATTTATAAATTTTTTCAAAACTAGATCAGACCCAGTTTATGTGGATCATATGTTGTTGGGCCCGTATAGAGGGTGAGAATAGATTTGTGGCTCCAACAAAGGGAGAGGGGAGTTCAGGTCCTTGTAGGTGTGGGACAGTTTCCAGCATCATCTTATTTTATCCTCCAACACCCTACTGCACGAAGACACCAGCATCACCATTATTCTGTTCACTGATCAGAAAGTTGAGTTAAGGAACACCTGGGTGGCTCAGTCGTTAAGCATCTGCCTTCGGCTCAGGTCATGGTCCCAGGGTCCTGGGATCAGGCCCCGCATCGGGCTCCCTGCTCGGCAGGAAGCCTGCTTCTCTCTCTCCCACTCCCCCTGCTTGTGTTCCCTCTCTCACGGTGTCTCTCTCTGTCAAATAAATAAAATCTTTAAAAAAAAAAAAAAAAGAAAGAAAGTTGAGTTAAAGTGCCAAAATATTTCCCCTAGGTTCATAAGTAGTGGACATGGGTCTGAAAATAGGTATTTGCAACACCAAAATGTATGGTTTTTCTTTATTTTTCCTTTCCTTTTTAAGTGTTATGGTCTCTAATCCTTTCCCTAAAGTAGTCACTAGCCTAAATTTGGGGATTGTCATTCAGAGTACCCTGAATTCTTAAATATTTTGGGGAGGGACATAAATTGAGAGAACCTTGGATAACATTGGGATGGTCATTCCTGATGATCCGGAAATTCCATTCTAGTTTTATGGCCCAGAGAAGCTGCTGTGCCTGGAAACCAGAAGATGCATGAGAATGTTCATGGCAGAATTGTTTGTGATAAATAGAAAAAACTGCAGACAACTCAAAGGTTTATCAGCAGTGGAATGGACAAACATATGGTGGTGCATCTGCACAATAGGAGAGAAAATGTGTAGCAACTGACAGGAATTAACTAGAGCCATATGCCTCAACCTGCATGAATGAGCCCAGGAAGTCTGGGGACTTGGCTCTGACATGGGGCTGCCGCTTTTCTAGCCCCAGGACCTCTGATTCACCAGATGCCAACTCTATTCCTGACATGGGCAGTGATGTGGCATGCAGATATTTCTAGGGCGTAAACCTCTGGGCTGATAGAGGGTTGTTTGCAGATGCTTAAAGCTGCCGGGTGACTCTTCACCCCGGTGAAGTATCTAAATCCTTTTTCCTCAGGCAGCAACTGGTGGGGTGAAGTAACAAACGGAACCGTACCATTTACTAGCCTCCAGCGGGAGTAGGAGATGGGAACGGGGTAGTGGACAAGCCCAGCACAGTGTGTATTACCAAATGCTCACTGAACAAACGAGTAAATCCAAGAACTGTGTTGAGCGGCCCACCGGCTCCTTTTCCACCCATGCATTCATTCTTGCAGCAAACATGTGCTGAACACCTGTGAGGTGCCTGGCACCATGATGGCGGAAAACAATGAATGCAGTATGGTTCCTGCCCTCAAGTGGCTCAGGTCTATGGGCTGAGCCAAAGAGATACCAAGTGTGTCTTTACTATTCGTTATGTTTGTCTATGTATACGTATATGTAGGAAAGAGTACAAATAGCACAGAATGATTGGGTCAGTCTCCCCAGAGGGAATACAATTTGAGGTGGGTCTTAAACATAAGTATGAGCTTACCAAATACATAGTATTAAAGTATTTCTGGGCATTTCAGACAAAGAGAAGAATATATGCAAAGACATGGATCTAGCAGAGCATGCCATAGTCTGGGGAGTAGTGAGTTGATTTGTCTGGCTGCTGAGGGGTAACAGAATAGTGGGTGATGGCCTGGCAGAAAGGCCACGGGCGGGGCCTCACCACCTTCTGTGAGTGGTACGGGATCTTCTTCTCTTCACAGTGGGGAGTCTCTAGGTGCTGGGTTTTGGAGGTTTCCCAGGGACTAAACAATAGGCAAGCTAATAAAACAAACACTCATGAAGCAAATTGACTATTCTCATGAACAGTATATGTTTTTAACAACTTCTGTATATTATACAAGTCCATTGATTAAAAAGCATGTGTTGCTACTTATACTGGATAATGCTCTGTAAATTGGAATAGTAGCTTAATGTACTAAACAAAATGATAAAATAGTAACAGTCCAGATGCCTGTTCTATTTCCCTGTGACACTTTCAACATTGGTTAAAGCTATAAATGGCTTAAAGATCCATAATTCTGCACTTTAATCCAAATACACCTCAAGATTTCTGTCCCAGTCTTACCCTAAGGACCATGAGCCTCTTCTGCCTTCCTTTGAAATAGCAGTCGATCTAATTTGTTTGTCTGTTTCTTTGAAGAACCCTGGGAAGGCAGTATGATAGAGTAGCACAGACATGGTTTTTTGGGAATCAGATAAGTCTATAATTAAATGCCATTCATAATGCTCCTGGCCGTTGTGTGACCTAAGTCAAGTTATTTAATTTCATAAGGTCTCAGTTTCCTCAACTCAAAAATGGAAAAAAATGAAATCTCTACAATGTGGATGCAATGTTTAAATGGATTAGCGTGGGGCACCTGGGTGGCGCAATTGGTTAAGTGTCCAACTCTTGGTTTCGGCTCAGGTCGTGTTCTCAGGGTCGAGATCGAGCCCCACATCAGGCTCTGTGCTTTGCGCAGAGTCAGCTTGAGATTCTCTCTCCCTTTCCCTCTGCTCTTGCTCTCTCTCTCTTTAAAATAAATGAAAAAATCTTTAAAAAAATAAATGCATCTGTGCATATATATGTAAGTTCCCTTTTCCCTTTGCATCCACTGAGATACACATAGTGACAAAGGACGAATTAAGCAATGCAGCAAATTGAAGGTATGAAGTTTACTTAAGAGTGTCTTCAGGATGCCTGGATGGCTCAGTCGGTTAAGCATCTGATTCTTGATTTTGGCTCGGGTCATGATCTCAGAGTTGTGGGATCGAGCTCTGCTTCTTCTCTCTCTGCCACCCTCCGCCCCCCCC